ACTAACGATCCGGGCAAGGAGCCGGTGAAGCCCGGTAGGATTGGCAGCTGCGGCACAGTCGTGTCTGACAAAGAGTGACCGTGGCCATTCACGGAAGACTTACTAATTCAACTCACTGAAATAAGACTACGAGCCCACTTTTATGGTCGCCACGGGGCCGATGAGGAGCGGGAGGCTTGGTAGCTTGCCGTAGCTTGCCCAGCACCGCACGGCTCAGCTTCAGGCCTCGGTGGCCCTGGCTTCTCTGGGTGGTGGAGCTGGGCACTCCTCTCCCGCCCTCGGATGGGCTGGGGCGGGCAGCGGGCTCTCTGGGAGGGAGGGCTCGGCTCCATGCCTCTTGCTGACCTTGGCCCTCACCTCTCTTGCAGCCGCAGTTGGTGGACAGCTTGGTAAGTAGGTCCCCTTTTCCTTTTTTCTTTTATGTTTCGAGATATTCTAGTGACCATCTCTGCACGGAACGGTAAGAGGGCCGTGTACCCGCCTCCTTGTCCTGAGGACTTCAGGCAGGGCAGCGTCACCCCGTCCTGCGACCCCGGCCCTAGGAGCTGGGAGTCACACTTTGGGGCCAAATCCACCATTGTGTCAGGTGAACCTAGGGGGCCTGGGACGCAGGACATGGAGGTCAAGGAGGGGTGTGTGGGGTGCTGGCTAACCTGACAGAGTGCACAGCCCCTGGAAGGACACTAGGAATAGGCTGAGACCCCAGTGGGGTCGGGGGGCGGCCCAGGGCACAAGCAGCTCTGCTTCTCCACCCTCCCTGGCCCAACCCAGCACAGCCACAACCACTTGCAACCACTGCACCCCAAACTCCAGCACGCTGTGAATAGCTCAGATCACAATGCCTCTGAGCGCCCATCCTCTGGTCAGCAGGGAGGCCCCCTTTCTGGGGGAGCCGTCTCCAGGTGTTGTAGTAATCCCTGAAAATCCCTTCAAGAGCACTGGGTTCATCCTGGGGGCTGCTCGCTGTCATCCAGCCCCAGCCAGCTGGTGTGCACCTTCTCCCCTGCGGCTCCTGGCTCCGCAGTCCTTCTGCTCAGTGCTGTGGACACAGACCATCTCCCACAAATCGCTGCCCAACTGGGAAGAGACTGTAACTTGATAGGACTTTGTTAAACACTCCGGGATGGAGAAATAAAATACAGAAAGTGTCTTAGATCAGCTGCTAGACGTGGTTAAGCTAGAGCTCACTGACTCAGTCCCAGCCTCACGAGGCCCTGACAAGATGTGTCTTCTTGCAGCACACGGCGGGGGCGGGTACGGGACCAGTGAGGAATCTGGGTGCACCCCCCCCAGCAGGAGCTTCCCCTCCTTGGGGCACGAGACCTGCTGCCCAGTCCCCACTTCCCATCCCAGAGGCTTCCCAGGAACACACAGTGGGGATTTCTATTCTCTCCTGGAGAAACACGACTCACTGGGAACACGGGACATTCTATGCAATCCTCTAAAGAGAGAAAGAAAAAGTCTGCAGAGACACATAAACGTTTGCATTACCAAACAGAATATTCAGCTGCTTCATCTAAAACAAGCGTTCAGGTTACTCTATGATCTCTGCCCCCAAACACAGGGAGGGTATCTCCTTTACATTTGGGTGTAACTAAAAGATCTATTTGGGCGTAACTAAAAGATCTACTTGGGCATCCTTGCAGACAAAGGTAAGAATACTTCAAGTCTCAACCTTTAGAAAAGCAACCATTTTGTAGGTCCTTAAAGGTAGATAGTTCTCCTAATCTGAGTGTCAAGGTACTAAAGAAAAAACACACCTCAAGGGATTCCACTTAAAATTTTATGGTAAATTACATACCCCCATAATTGAGATTTTTAGTTTTGAAAAATAAAAATAATGCAAATGGAAATAATCTGGCTTATTTTCTGCTTCACAGAATTTAGATTACCACAGGCAATTTGCAGAACAAATTGAATCAAATATTGATTTTTTAAATGTGGTAGCTGTCACAACTTCAGGCATCCTGATGGCTCAGGGCGGGAAGCTGGGAGAGGAGGGAGGCACCTAAAACTGTAAGAGAGCCCCCCCACCACCCTGCCCCGACCTTGACCTTGCTTTGCTCCTTTACTGCAGGGGTGAAACCTCCCACAGTACCCCCACCTCCAGCCCCCGCCTGGCTCTGTTCCCCTGACAACCCCTCACCCAGAACTCCATCCTGTGGCCGCTCACTATTCCCAGCATCCTGAATTCCTGCCTCTCCGCCAGAATCCGAGAGGGCACTTTCCAATCCCGTTCCCTGGTGCAGCCGCACGCGTGCGGTCAGCCCATCAACCCACGGATCTTCCAGCGGGCTGGACAGCAGCAAGACAGGGGAAGGTGTGCGAGAGCGTGTTTCCAAAAGGGAGTAACATCCCAGGGAAGAACAACGTCTCTTTCCTCTTAAGTTTATCACTGGGGCCGGCCAGTTAGACAGACAAAAGATAGGTGAGCAGGGGAAAGATGTGTATTCCCTTTTCAGAGGGGCGTGCAGAAACTGCGAGCCAGGGAGACGGTCAGGACTTGGGGCTGGGACACCGTCTGAGCAGGGAAAGGGCTGGGATGAGGGCACCTGCGGAAAAACAAATGACGTTCAGGAAAGACAAGCCAGCCCTGTGGAGAACAGAGAGATGGCAGCTGAAGTTTGTGACAATATCTGTTGAGTCCCTGGTGATCAGGGTCAGGGCTTCGTGGCAGCTCCTGGGGAGGCGATTTATAACAGTACTCTTTGGCGAGGCTCTGCTGTTAGGCAGGTATGGGTGTTCAGAATAAAATATGAAACCTATTCTGGAATACTGTCAGCTCAAGATACTTTTTAGGCCACGGTGGTGTGTTCTGGATGCCTTCGGTGACCCCAAGCACGGGCGGGCAGGAGGGAGTCCCGAGGGACTTCCCTGAGAGCCAGCCCAAGTCTCTGCCCTCCCACAGTGCCTGGGGCCTGCTGGGGTTCTCCCCTCAAGGCCAGCCTGCTCCTACAGACCACCGAGTGGCCACTACACTCCCAGGAAAGGTGGACACAGCTGGAGAACCCACAGTCCTCCCCGGGGGGGTCCCGGGTCCTCGGGTCCGTCCCACACAGAAGATTGAGCTGCGGACCACAGGGGTCTCCATCACAGACTCTTGTCTCTTCCTTCCTCAGCAGCTGCACCCAAATCCATGATTTCCCTCCATCCTCCATGGACCACCTTCTTCAAAGGAGAGGCAGTGACTCTGACTTGCAATGCACCTGGCGTCCACGCAGCAGAGAACATAAAATGGTACCGGTGGTACCTCGGGACAAAAATGCTACATGAGACCCCAGGAAACACCCTCGAGGCCCGTGTCTCTGGAAGGTACAAATGCCAGACCCAGGGCTCGCTCCTAAGTGACGATGTGAGCTTGATCTTTTCTTCAGGTGAGCAAGAGGGTGAGCTGGTGCAAACGTTAGAAGTGGTTCCGGTGCATCCCGGTCCCCTGGAGCTGGCGAGCCCCGGGCTCCTTCCTGCTGCTCTAACCCCCGACCTCCTCCAGCCTCATGTCCTTAGTGCTCCTCGTGTCTAGAGGTGTTTTTCACACTACTGTTGACATTAGAGTTTCATCATCTAATGGTAATCAGCAGACCTCCCTACACGTTTACACAGTGGAGGAAGGAGTTCATTTTAGGGGATTCGAAACGGAAGCCGCCTTAGCCCCGGCCCTCCGGGCATGCGCAGCCGCCACCCGCGGGAGAAACGACACGGACAAGGATGCCCTGAGCACCAAGTAGGTGCGAAAAGTGGCCTCGGACAAGAGTTTGGAGGAGGGGAGTCTCCGCCTCAGGCCTGTGTCCCCACCTGTCCTGACACCTGTCCCTTCTCTACTCCTGCTTTCCCGCCTCGGGGGCACCACTCTTCCTGTCCCGATTTGCCTACTCTGCAGAGAATGGTTTGGACCACTGCACGGCCCTGCGCTGGGGGAGAGGCCATCCCTCAGTCGCCTTAGACAGAGGGGAGAGAACTGACCTCTCATGAGGATCTGAAGAGCAGGAGCATGTCCGCATGGGACCCATTCTCCATCCCTCACCCCCGGGTCTGTGTCTGACCACAAGCCTGCTGCAGAACGAACCCCAGCGCACGGTGACACTTTTTAGTCTGTTGCTTCCACGGTGACTCTGGCTCTGGGACCCGGGGAGCAGGCTGGTGGAGATTTGTAACCGTGTTCAACAATGTCTGAGCGTCGCTCACCTCCCACTCAGCTCTCCGTCCCCACGTTAGAATCCTCATACTAGGAATCTGTCCTTGAGTGTGAAACAGGTGTCGGGTTGGTGTGTTTGGGACTTATTTACGGAACAGGTCATGAGGATTTGGAAGGAAATGAGTGAGCCTGGGGCAGGAACCTAAATCCTGTGGAAGAGAAAAGAGAACCAGTCGAGCCTCGGGAGCCAAGCTGCACGGAGGAAAGGGGTGACCCTGAGTGACAGGCTCTCGTCTCTGTGTGCTTTCCAGAATGGCTCATCCTTCAGGCTCCACACTCCGTGTTTGAAGGTGACACGCTCGTTCTGAGATGCCAGGCGAAGGGGAGAGAGAAACTGGGTGCTGTGAAATACACCTGGAATGGGAAAGTTATCTCTACCTCTGATAAAGGCCAGGATCTTTTGATACCACAAGCAAGTTTGAACAACAGTGGCTATTACCAATGCATTGGATTTCTGGAGAGAAATCATTACACCTATAGGTCAATTAAGAGAATTATTAAAATTCAAGGTAAGCTCTTCATTTCATATAGATTGCTGAGTAATGTCAGGGTGGGGAGCTGGGTGTGATGGGGGATCCATACGTTGATGGCCCAACTCTGGATAATGAGAGGCGTAGGTCCTCCAGCAAACACAGTGAGCGGGGTCATTGTACTGGGAGCTGGGGAAGGACGATGGGATTGTGGGGTCGATGCGTCTCTGTCTTGCTGTGTGTCTGTCTGAAGTTCCCTGGGACCAAGAAGCCAAGCCTGCCCATCCCGGGGCTCTAAGTACCGCATTCTGAGAACTCGGTTTACCTCTTCTCTCCAGAACTATTTCCACGTCCAAAGCTGGAAGTCACACCCCCCCAGCCTACAGAGGGCGGCCCTGTAAACCTGAGCTGTCAGACACGGCTGCCCCTCGAGCGGTCGGATGCTCTGCTGTCCTTCATCTTCTTCAGGGACCGCAGGGTCTTGCTATCCAACTGGAGCAGGTCCCCGGAACTCCAGATCACAGCCATCTGGAGAGAGGACTCGGGGTCGTATTGGTGTGCAGCCACAGCTGGGGTCCCCAGCATCCACAAACACAGCCTCCCGATGCAGGTCCGTGTGCAGGGTGAGTGTCAGAGAGCCGCTGGAGAGCTGGGGCTGTGGCACCCTCCCCGACGACTCCCCGTGGCCTGTGCAGGGACAGACTGCCCAGCACTGATGGATTTAGTCATCCTGATGGATGCAGGCTGGCCCTGAGAAGTCAGGTACTGTAATAAAAGAAATACAGGGCTCATTTCTACCACTATCTTTCTAAAAACTCAGACTTTCTTTGGAACTCTAGCACCTCGAAATAGTAGAGTGGTTCATGAAGTTAGATACAAGAGCTAGGGAAAACAAACAAAAAGCAAGGTGTCCTGAGCTGACACATTCTAGAAGGCCAGATCTTGGGGCAAACTATTAAGGAGATCAGCCTCAGCCTCTTCCTAATCAATAGCAGCAAATAATGGGAATGCCCACCACATGCGATGCACAAGAGAAGGACACACAGGTAAAGATAAATATGGTAAGTATCGTCTTGTCTCAGGTACCAAAGTAGGACTCCTGGAAATGGATGTGGTCCAGTCCGGTTCGGGGGCCGCTCTCTCTGCCACCTGTCCCGGCAAACAATCCAGACTGCCAGCTAGGACATCAGACAAAACTCACAGGCTTCTTCAGGGATAACCAGTTTTTCTCTCCTGGGGCTCTGTGTGTCAGGATTGAACTCTTACATTTGGTGATGGTCTAGGTCCAAACTCCACAGTCTACAGGCTACAAAGCCAGCCCCTGCTGAGTATATCTTCAAGGCACATAAAGAGTGTCCCCATCCAACGTGCCAGCCCTGCCCTCCCCACACCTCACCTGCCCTCACCTGCCGTCTCGTGTTTACGCAGGCGTCCCGGGGACCCTCACCTGCCCTCGCCTGGCCTCACCTGGCCTCACCTGCCCTCACCTGCCCTCGCCTGGCCTCACCTGCCCTCGCCTGCCCTCCCCTGGCCTCCCCTGCCCTCCCCTGGCCTCACCTGCCCTCCCCTGCCCTCACCTGCCCTCCCCTGCCCTCGCCTGCCCTCGCCTGCCCTCGCCTGCCCTCCCCTGCCCTCACCTGCCCTCCCCTGCCCTCGCCTGCCCTCGCCTGCCCTCGCCTGCCCTCCCCTGCCCTCCCCTGCCCTCGCCTGCCCTCGCCTGCCCTCGCCTGCCCCCTCCCTTGCCCTCGCCTGCCCTCCCCTGCCCTCGCCTGCCCTCCCCTGCCCTCCCCTGCCCTCGCCTGCCCTCGCCTGCCCTCGCCTGCCCTCGCCTGCCCTCCCCTGCCCTCGCCTGGCCTCCCCTGCCCTCACCTGGCCTCTCCTGCCCTCACCTGGCCTCCCCTGCCCTCACCTGCCTTCACCTGCCCTCCCCTGCCCTCCCCTGCCCTCGCCTGCCCTCGCCTGCCCTTGCCTGCCCTCACCTGGCCTCACCTGGCCTCCCCTGCCCTCACCTGGCCTCCCCTGCCCTCCCCTGCCCTCCCCTGCCCTCCCCTGCCCTCGCCTGCCCTCGCCTGCCCTCGCCTGCCCTC